TATAACAATTAATATAACCGTATGATTGCATAAAACATTTGCTTCGATCATATGATCACCAAATGGTAGAAAAAATGTCAATTTGTTTGCTGGTTGTCCCACAATTGCCATACAATTACATAATAGTTTGCGAAACAATTTGCACCTAAATTTAGAGGCCAGTCGTGTCTCATACGGGTGTCGTCCGACGCAATGTCTCCATCGGGTACTCCTTGCGTGGCATCAGTTCCCGGGGATAGTCTTTACCGAAGTCGCGGATCACTATATTATCCTTTCTCTGGTGATGGGAAGGCATGAACTCGTGGGCCGAGTAGTCTCTCATAATGTCGACAGACGTGGAAACCGTATTACACGTGGTTTCCCGCGTTAACGGCGGGAACTGGAAGTAAGTTAAGTCGCGCATAGAGTCCGACAGTCCGAGGGTTGACATCATGTTTGGCACATTGAGAGAGCCGTGTCGGGAGCCCTTGAGCTGAGGCGGTGGACAGGGAGATGTCTCGCGCGATAGCTCACGGGTACGGCTATAGCGTCGACCGCGACTGCCGTGCCGTTTGCAGTAAACCATAGAGTTAGCACCGGCCGGTTCGCCGGCACCTGGAGGTCCCACGGGTGTGGGCAAGTAGTCGACGAACTGTTCCCTTTCGTATTCAATTTTGTACTTAAACTGATGCAATCGGATGTACAAGAATATGGCGAAAGTGCCGGCGATTTCGCACAGTATTAGTGATGACACCCCAAACAGGAATGAGTAGCCGTACCGGTAGGCAAACATCGGGCCCTGGAATGAGGACTTGGGTCTCAGTTTGTGTCCCACTTCCGCCTTGAATGTCGATATGTATATAACCATACCGGCCAGTATTAGTAGACCTAACAGGCAATTAAAGTAATTTAAATATTTATATATGCTTTCACTTTAAGTTTAAATTTTTGTTCATTTCAATTATTGAACATGGTGTTTGTTTGAAATGTTAATTAGTCTCTTATGTGAAACAATTTTCACATATTCTGTGAGCTTGTGTTAAATATTTTAAAACTTATCATTTATTAATGAAATACAATCTCCGGTAATGTTGTGTTAAATACTAACTTTATAGAGCTATAAAGTATTGACTTTCAAACACTAATACTCTATTCAATTGTTTAAGAACTTTGATCTTTTANCATCACAATCAAGTCAAGTACCACTAGTAGTGGTGACCACGGATCAGATATATAGCGACTATTAGTAAATGATTGCAAAACCGATTTGTTATGATTTTAGTAGATATTAATGATTAAAATGAACACATTTTGTGGCGAAGTCTTTAAGGGATTAGTTGAGACTTTGATTTGAAAAATAAAATAGATTTTAATTTAAAATCTCGTTTTTGATTCATTTGGCGATTCAAGCGATTATCAAATTTGGTGATTAGTAGCAAAATGTCTTAAATGCAAAATCCATTAATTAATGGCAAGATTTCAATCTCAATGATTAGTGTGTTATCGCGTTGTACAGTATAATAATTAGTATTTGATATGAAATAAAGCATTAATTAGTGTTACATTTGGTATAAAAAGCATTTTATTACAAGTATTAAAAACATTAAAAAAGAGATTTCTTGTATCGTTTTGATTGAGAAATTTATTTTGAAAACATTTTGTAGTTTTTTGTTTGTTTTGTAATAATACGTAAAATCGATTAGTAATTCAAATAATACTAATTAATTAAAATTTGTATATTTAGTCGCGACTTGTTTGAGATGATACGGTACCTAAAAATATGTATATTTCATTTGATCAGACATACTATCCCTACCCCCGGCGTGCGCGCGCGGGTGGTGTCTATGCGGTTAGCACCGGTAGCCGTGGCCACCGCACAGACACCACCCGACCGACCCTTTCATCCAATTAATAATAGTTATAACAAACAAATATATTTATAATTAAAAACAAAACAACGGAGTTTTCATTCAATCATATTTCACTACCGATTTGTTTAGCGGTTATGCGTGTAATCAATACAAACAAAAAGACATTTCATTATTAAATTCAATCATTAATTAGAATAAAAACAAAGAAATCTTCGGCGAAGAAGTATTTGGCGCTATCGACACAAATGCATGTCTTTTTGTGGTCTGATTTCCTCAACAATAAGAATCAATTTACAGATCATTTTACTGTTTGTTTGCTTGAAATCGTGTTTTGTATCGTACTTTTCAAGTAATTTAATTAGAAATATAGTTAATATTGTGAGCGATTAATAGATAAAACGCGAGAGATTTATGTATAGAGATAGAGAGATATAGAGACAGAGATTATCATTAAATATAAAAACCGACTCTTGCGGGACAACCGGTGCGGCCGAGAGGGTGGAGGCGGTTGTAGTAGCAGTAGTAGAGTAGTGGTGATGATGGCGACGCCTCCCCCGCAAAAATCACCACTATTTATAGCACTAAATGTATATATTATAACAGATCGCACGTGTATTTCTTGCGCTTAGGCTTAGGCTGTGGACAGAGAACCGCTCGGATGGCCTCATCGAACACATTCTTGAGGCCCTTCTGCGTGAGCGCCGAGCACTCCAGGTATTTAACGGCACCGATCTCTTTGGCCATCGCCAGGCCCTGCGGGTACGTAATGGGCGCCAGTTTGCGGTCCTTCAGCTTCTCCAGCGTCTTGGAGTCGTCCCGGAGGTCGAGTTTAGTGCCCACCAGAATGATCGGTGTGTTTGGACAGTGATGTGACACTTCCGGATACCACTGAATGGAGAGACACATGCATATGGATTAGTGGCTCATCTAATGAGTAGGGAATCAGTCGATTGGCTAACCTTTGCCCTCACGTTCTCAAAAGAGGCCGGATTTACGAGTGAAAAGCATATGAGAAACACATCCTATTGTTGTTTGGGATCAATTGGAATCGATTAATATCAATTCGAGGTGTCATTGCTGCGGTGGACATACCGTTTGTGGATATGAGAGAGGTCTGAGTCGGTCGTAGTCCTCCTGACCGGCAGTGTCCCAAAGGCCCAGATTTATAGGCTTTCCGTCGACCATCACATTCGCCGAGTAGTTGTCGAATCTGTGGTCAATAGACAGACATTACATGTGATGATCACATCAAGCAATCGGCGGTTAAATGTCTTACACGGTTGGGATGTATTCGCCGGGGAATGCGTTTGTCGTATAACTGATCAAAAGACATGTCTTACCGACAGCTCTGGTATTTGTGACAAAAAGGGAAATAAAAATAAAGTTAAAAACAAATTCAATACAAAAATATCATATATTATGGATTAAAAGGGATATATTTGTGTGGGTTTTGGGGTAAACGAGCAAAAAGTTTGTTATTTTCGTGATTGAAGTGTGAGTTATGAATAAAACAAAACTTCGTTCACAAGTGATGTCAGAGACAGAGGAAGAAGACCTTCAATGAGTCCGTCAAACAAGTGGTGCTCAAGACTTCACACACAAACCAGTATTGAATGCATTGAATGACAAGAACTTCATTGAAGACTATATTTAATGCCAAAACACTTAATGAGTGGGAGTTTTGCTATACTTTTGGGATTAAGATGTTTGTCACACACTCTGTCATCAATCACACAAACAATTGGTATTTTTGGTGATAAAACGGATATTTATATATATAGTGAACACAATTTCAAACCAGAAATCGATATTAAATACCATAAAAATGAGATAATTAAATAGCAATCAAATGATTAGACAGTATATGAGCTATATATGAGTCAACTGTTTATGACATACAGAGAGTGAGTGTATGTGTGGTTAACACACATCTCATTGAAAAGCTATTTGTAAGTGATTTATAGATTATAATTACAAACAAATGATAGCCCAAAAGGACATGGATTACAGACCCGTCGCCGACGACCACACATTTGATGGCTTGCATTGTATGCTATGTTTTGTATATACAGTCCGTCCCTTCACTCAGTGTTTGTGTTAAGACTGAACACAAACCCAACGATTGAAACAATAGACCAATTGAAGGGAAACTAAACAAAAGTCTAAACGATTTGTCCGTAAATTGCTTTCAAAGCATTGAATAAACAAATGGTTTAATGCTTTTCATGTGAGACGAGAGATATGAGACATAAATGGTTTGAGGGATTGAAGGCTGTGTGAGGTGTGTGTTGGGCACTGGTATGTCAGCCACCAAACTACAGGCGCTCTCTCGCACTGCCTAACCATATCATACCAGTGCTGGAGCGGGTGTGACTCCTATTTGGTTATGGCTTAAGACCGGTGCAAACAGATGGCACTCACGCCTGGATGCATGGGAACGGTAGCACAAGTGCGAACGGTATGTGGTGGCATTTGGCACAGGTGCTCGCGTATTAGCCTGATGCATTTTTTATTTGAATACGATTTTGAGCATAATTTGAAGCATTTATGGCACAGAATTGTGTTGAATATGGTTTGCACTCAAGAATATTCTGTAATTCATTTCTGATAAAAACTTTTTCCTACAAAATTAAATGCCATATAAATTCCGATTCAACTTAATATAGCGTTGCATATAATGCTAGAAATAATAGTGAGATTTGGTGTGAATTATTAAATAGTTGTGAATAAGCACTACATTTGCGGCAGAATTTAATTATTGATTACAAAAAGCAATGCAATTCTCAAAATTCAGTCATATTTTGGCACAAAAAACTTATAATTAGTTTTTGTACTATTAATTCACTGTAAGAATCGCTAGAATTGAAAACAACAGTTTAATTAAATATTAAGTTTTATTAATATTAATTAACATTTTAATTAATTTTCACTAAATATTTCAAACATTACTTAATAATTGTGTGATTTTTTGTACATAATATAATGAACTAAATATTTTAAACTATAAATACTTTTTTATATAACAATCTTTTTGGGATATAATTAATTATAATAAATATTTTGAATATATTATTAATATTAATACTTAAAATGTAACCCAAAAATTGAGTGACACTTTTATGTAAATTCTTATTATAGCTTAAAAACTTTGAATATAAAAATTTGGATTTCGTTCGTGTTTTGAAAATTTTTAATATAAAGGCTGTTATAATAATATAAACATAAAACTGTAATTCATTACTTGAGTAGAGAATATATTCTGTAATATATGTCGGGAATAATGTCTAACAATAATGTCATTACAATTCTCTATAGACTATAATTTTTCCCAAACAAAGTCTAGTGTTTTTTAAAACAAAAAAATGTATGAATATTTGCATCAAATTAAAATTGCTAACAATTTTGAACAAATACCTGCTTTTTAATGAAATTAGTGTTTGATATGAAATGCATTTAACTATTCATTAAACATAACTAATAGTCCGGTGAGAGGTTTGCGTGCATTTATTGAATGCAATTCTTGTTTATACATACATTACTGTATATCAGTCTGTAGTCGATAAATACATTGTAGTTATTTATAAAAGTTAAAAGTGTTTTGTGTTATCAATAATATTGAGCTTAAGTTCACTTTTGTTTGTATTTGTTATACAGAATTAAATTTTATATTAATTCATCATAATTATGGATATAATGGCAAACATAGCATGACTTATGTTTACTTTTTAAAATGTATTGCTATTCATTTATTACTGATTTTGTTAATTATGACCAATTTTGGTCTCTATTTTCTCATTTATTTTCAGTACTTTTGATTCATTTGAATGCAGAGAATATGAGAACATTTGCAATGAATTCGTGATTCTTATAATGCATTTGTCGGAAACACATGAACGATATGCCGATTAGTATTTCAGTCATCATTTGAATATATATTCGTTGAACAAAACAAGTTATTATTATTATAACTATTATTACAATTAATATAACAATTAATATAACCGTATGATTGCATAAAACATTTGCTTCGATCATATGATCACCAAATGGTAGAAAAAATGTCAATTTGTTTGCTGGTTGTCCCACAATTGCCATACAATTACATAATAGTTTGCGAAACAATTTGCACCTAAATTTAGAGGCCAGTCGTGTCTCATACGGGTGTCGTCCGACGCAATGTCTCCATCGGGTACTCCTTGCGTGGCATCAGTTCCCGGGGATAGTCTTTACCGAAGTCGCGGATCACTATATTATCCTTTCTCTGGTGATGGGAAGGCATGAACTCGTGGGCCGAGTAGTCTCTCATAATGTCGACAGACGTGGAAACCGTATTACACGTGGTTTCCCGCGTTAACG